AAAGAAAAAAAAAACCGCCCCCCCCCCCCCCCCCGAAGCAGAGTTAATGTTGTATGTAATGAGGAAGGACTTGCGCATGACTGAAGAACAGCTCTGGACGGCTTCAGTGTCCTTTGTTATCTGGTGCACATGGTGTGGTTTGCGAAATCCAGTTGCACTCTCTCTATAGCTTTTTCTCTTGGGGAAGAAAATGCAGATGCTAGCGGCAGTGAATCTGTACATGTACACCAGCCTGCTTTCTGGTGAGCCTCACCGAGGTTTCTCTGGCTGTCCCAATGCTGGACTAACGCTGCACACTGTTTAGTTACTGTTCAGGCTGGCTTGGTGTTTTGACCTAGCCACATAGCCAGAGAATGGCCTCCTGGTGAAGGTTACATGACCTGTCACATTACGGACAGTTTTTCAGAGGAACTATTATTTTGTTCCTGGTAACAGAGTGAAAGAGGCATGTTCCTGGTAGAGTTTGCCAAACCACTTGCGTCATGTGGAAGGCATCCAGTGTGTGTGCAAAAAACAGCAAAGGATGACATCCTGGAATACGTGAACGGGATGAAGCACTCCTTACTCCCTGGAGACAAAGTGCTGGCGCCCTGGGAGCCAGATATGGCCAGGTACGGCCCAGGAACCGTCCTCACAGGCATTGAGACAAGGGACCCCTTACGAGGTAAGAAAGATGCTGCCCTCTTCTTCCTCACCTTGCTCCAGAACATGAGTGAGACTGTCAGGATAAACTCTTGTCACGGTGCTACTGCCAGAGAAACACCAGTGCACAGACTGCAGTTTAGTGTTGCTTAAAGCTTGCAGGAGCTGATGGGACTTGCTGATGGATATCTGTGTGTAACCTCACCAGTCTGACCCCAAGGAAGTTGTGACCCATAAAAATGACATCTTCCGTGTCCGCAGATGTGCTATTTCTGCTCGGGCAAGGCTGTGTCTGCCATATGAAGGAAGGTAGTCTTTTCATGAGGGATACAAGTGAGGCAGCTCTCATTCTGTGCTTGAATGCTCACATTTGTACCTAATGGTACATCTAGGGGTGATTTTATCACCCAAATGTAGGAGATGTCAACAGCTCATTCATTTTTCCCATGTCTGATGGTCAAGCTCCACTGACTTATCAAACTACTCTTCTCAGAGCATTACTGCTAACTTTGGCAGTAACAACAAAAGTTACTCAGTCAACATTGTCTCATTCATCTGATGACAAGTGGGGAGGAAAGATGCTGCCAGGCCTGTTGTCACACCGACGGTGTCCTAGCTGCCCACTCCACCCTCCATGATATTATGGTGAGGTGTTACAGAGAGGGGTGATAGTTGATCCTACTGCTTGACGGGAGTAGAAAGTGCATAAAGCTGCAAGCCGATCTGTGTACGTGCACTGCCCAGGCAGGCCAGCTGCTTATGGCTGCTTACCTTTTCTCTCAACAGCCTCAGAAGATGAAGAAATTATGGTCCAGTTCTGGAATGACAAAAAAGTGAAACTCCCACAAGGTGTGGCTCTGTGGATCCTTCCCAGCCTGTGGGACAGGATTGTAGAGATGATCCACATGCCCTTCACCAGCAGGGTGAAGCCCAGAGAAAGTCCAGACACTAACTCTTGCATTTTTTCCTGCAGTCCTAAACCAGCCCTGATTCCTGTTTGTGCTGTACACAGCCTTGCCAAGCACTGCTTGCTCTGCTCACTCTGCTGGCCACATTTCCACTATCACTGTGGTGATATATGCTGTTCGTCAGCATATGTAAGGTGCATCTGCTGCTGCCATCCCCATGTTGATGCCTGGTGGCCTCTTCCATCCAGGTCTCTGGTCTTTCAGAGCAAAACTGAAGAGGCAGAGTCCAGCAGCGAGCCCTCTCCATGCCTTCTGGAACTGAAAGGCCAAAAAAAAGAAGCAGCAGCAGCTGTGGCAGCATCTTCCCCCTCTTCTGATTCTGACCTGGAGCCATTCCCCACTAAGAGTACTGTAGTGGACAGTGCTGTTAACACAGGCTCCGGCTGTCTTGAGAAGCCCAGGCTAAAGGATTCTGTAAGACCCGAGTGGAAATACTGGAAAAGAAGCCACCACGAGTCCCATCCCAGTAATTCAGGTACCTTTTAACACCCCCACAGGGAAGCAGCAGCTAGAGGGAAAAAACCCAAATGTGTTCTGGGCCCCCTTCATCTGGGCAGTCACTTTGCCTGTAGTTTATTGGTATAAATACTGTAAATTCGCATTATCAGTCTCTGATACAATACTTTCCCCTCCCCAACATTTCTGGTGCCTCATCTTGCATGCTAGCTCTTCTTTTGGCAACTCATCCAATGGAAAACTACCAGAACAGTGAATTTCATTTGGAAGCATAGATATCCCTCTCTGAGTTTGTTCCCCATCATTTTGCTATGTTCTTTATGATGCTAACATCTTCATTAACCTTCGTAGCTAGTCCATGCAGAATAACCTGAAATAATTCCTTTCAGGCTTAAAGTGCATTTTCCTCTCTTCCAAAATGAATGTTTCTCCGTTTCAGTTCTGGTTTCATTCTTAGATATAATTTTACTCCTTCCCAGGACTTGGCAGTTGCAGCAGCACACGTACAAAGGGCAAACTGGAATCCAAAGCCATCTCCGCTGGGGACATGTCCTGTGTTGCCCCGACTAATTGGAGTGCAATGTTTGAAACCATCGAGCAGTCTCCCAGAGGGCAACTCACAATGAAAGAAATCTTAAGAGACCGAGATTTTAAGCCATCATTGGGGGTAAGGTAATCTGTATTAATAATGTATTTATGTAAGCACACAGTTTGTTTGAATGGAAGAAATATTCTTGTTAATGGTCTGGAAGTTGGCTAGAAAAATACATCGTTTCTAACTTAACTGCTTGCTAAGGCCACCCACCAGTTTTGTGACAGGCAGGAAACTTCTCCACTAATTTATACAAAGCAAAAATCCCCAAACCCTAAGGAAGGGCTGAAGCTACTTGGTAAAATGGAAAAGATTATGCCAGTAACTGCATGAGCATTCAATAATGCAGATTTCAATTCAGAAACCTGCCAAATGCCCATTGACATCAATCCAATGAAGTCCTATGGAAGAAGGGACCTACATGAGTGGCCCTGGAAATGGACAGATGTGACTGTCAGCAGCAATAAAACACAAGAAAAGATTCAATCTGAAAAGGTTCTGGGCTCTGCCGGTCAAACTCTGATAGTCATGATCTCTATCTCTGAAAGATAAAAGCAGATTTTTTAGTCAACGGTCTTTACTGAGCATCTTCTCTTACTCCCTCACGAGAAGCAAGCCGTTTAAACAGCAGATCCCTACCCTGAAGCTAGGGGATACAGAGTAAGCAAACTGTGTCACAGCTAGGAACAAGGACAACACCCTGATTTTTAGGCCTGGCTTGTTGGCCATGGTCCCCTCCTGCTTTAGAAAAACTTGGGGAGAAAAAATCAGAACATGAACGCCAAAAAAAGCAAGCACAGAAAAGAGGAAGAAAAAAGCTTGCAGGAAGAAGGGGAAGATGAAGGAGAATGGCAGGATGAACAGAAACACTGCTCTGCACAAGAGCATCGGGGGTACAATTAATAAATTATATATCCGAAGTCAAATATCAGCTCCTCTGTACCTTCATGCTCTTGCTACTGTGAGTTGACTGCAGAGTAAAACTTTGAATGTGCTAAACCTGCATGATTTTCTTTAGAAGATTAATCTGCTAATGACATGTCTCAGTGAACAGAGAATATACTGGAATATACCTTGTAGTCTCACAATTACGTGCATTAATTTTAAGCAGATGCCTACCAACTTATTAACTATATGGTTCCTACTTTATTATTTAAATAATCATAATTACACACCTTTGTAATTAATTTCCTAGGAATTTTTAGGCCAGTATGGAGCTCCAGAGAGACATGCTCTATGTTAGCAAGTGTCACAGCTGTGCACTGAAGTGACTTGCTTTGCCTTTTGGTAAAACTAAAAAGAAACCAGAGTGGTTTCATTCTAGCCCCAAACTGGCAGCATGAATCACAGCAGTGGATGCAATGTGGTAATACAGAGTATAATGACATACTTTTATTCCTGTAAAATAGCCTTTGGTGTTTTTAAAACCAGAAGATACATTGCTACTCCTTGAGATAGATGAAGCAGTTTTATCATATAATACAGACTGCATCAGAAATAACTTGCAACAAACAAGTGAAGCTAGAGAGCAGGCTTCCCAGAGGTGCTCTCTGTGGGGCTAATGTCCTCCCACTGTAGTCACCAAAAATACTCCTAACTTCTAAAGGAGCAAAGTTTTTGGTCAAAGCCTAAGAGCTTCTGAAAAGCCTTTAGTCTTATTGTACACTTCTGTGTTTCAGCAGTAAAGTTTGTTCTAGCACATAAATGACACCATTATTAAAGCTACGGGAGGCAGCGGTACCTATCTTACAGCCAGGAAAGCAGCAGTTACAAAGACACTGATGCTTTTTTTAGACTAGACTTCCAAGGGATTTGTTTTCTGTCCTCCAGGAAGAAGGGTCTGCAGCATCAGAAAAACAAAGATATAAAACAGCAAGAAAGAAAACAGAGTCATATGATAAATGTAAAGCGACTTGCATAGGAGACTACAAACTTGACGATACAGACCATGTCAGAAGACAGACAGAAAAAAACAGCAAAGATCTCACTTGCAACAAAGCAGAGAGAGACACGATCAACCAGAATTCAATAAATGTATAACTGATGAAGTTCAGGAGCTGAAATTTCAGGTAAACTGCTTATACTGTATCAGTGTTACCATTTATTAAGCAAATCAAGTGCTGATTTAGGTACTGTCTCTGTAGAATATCTTTATGGATAACTGTATCATTTTAATAACTGAGAAATTCTATTTCCACCCAGATCGAATTTCAGCATCCTCATTCTTTACTCCAAGGTGTTATATTCCTAATTATTTGGACTTGACTTTACAATTCTGGAGAGGTCAGGTAAACTAGTATGCACAGTAGGGTCTAATAAACCGCCAATTTGTCTACAGTTCTCCGGAGTCAGCCAGAGGAATTCAGCATAGTGATTTCTTTTTGTAGAAAGCCAGAAGGAATGGAGAAACAATACAGGCTGACAGCTGAGAATGTTTTGTTCAGGATTAAAGAGAAAGTAGCCAGAGGGTAAAGGACCTGCTACTGTAGATACAAACAAAAAAATGCTTAGAGATCCAGCATTCAAGTCACTGAATTCTATATTCCTGTGAAAATTAACTGAAACTTTAATATCATCAGCTACAAAACGATTACAGATATATATAGGTCATGTCACTAATTCTAACCGTGGAATCTGATCCTTCTGGAGAGTTAAGCATCCAAGGAGTCTGGTTAGTGGGACTGCTCATGTTTAAAGCATATGAACTTGTCCATAAGCTGCAGCGTGCAGTTGCTCAGCAGTACTTTTCCCCTGCAGGAAATAGGAGACAATTCAGGGTATCCTACCACCTACTGAAAAAGGCAGCTAACTGGTGTTCAGCCTAGGTAAGAGCCTGCAAAGAGATGGGACTTGAAGTGTCAGTAGTTTATGTGCCTATACTGAACATCTGACACATATTCAAGCACCTTCCTGAGTTGGAGTCCTAGATAATGAATTTCATTTGCATTTTATTTCTTTATCAGAATAATAGAAGTACAGATAGGAGAGATGCATTGTGAGCAGCTGCTCTAAAATCAGTGCCAGCCCACAGAAGCTAATGTACATCCATGTTCATACCACATGGATCACACTTTCTGTGGTCAAGAACGTAACAGGGATGTTCTGTCTGAGGATAATATAAAAGAAGCTGTCATCACGAAGACTAAATTATTTATTCCACTGATTGTACCTTTAATTGTTTAAAGCATAAGAACCTGGAATTACACAGTCACATAATTGGATTTAAGGCAGACAATGTACAAATATTTAAAAAATCAGTGTACAAAGTGGGCTGCATATAATTGCATTAAGTAGAAAACAAATATACAGGCCATAAAAATGGAGTCCCAAAGAGGAGGATACTATTAAAGTGCTAACAAGAAAAAGATATACATAGTTCATTACATGCATTAAAACAGCCTCATATTTTATTCCTGTGATTGCCAAGAAACAACAAACATCATAGAACAAAAGTTAAATCAACACTTTGTCCTGCATTGACATCCACCACGTGGGTTTGTTGCACCATGTCCACTGAGGTTGCTGTGACAGAATAGGTGCCAGGAGAAACTTCAATGTAGATGTCTTCGGAAGCTTGTCTGGTCTTTAGGGGGAAAAAAAAGTTTCATTACTGTTTAGTCATCTTAGATTTCCTGCAAAAATGAAAATTTTGCATTTGGGTAAAAAAATTACATTTCAGCTGCTATATAAATGTACTAAGATTTTTCAAAATATACAGGCAGCATGGACAAAACTGTAAAATGTTTCTGTCAATACTAAAATTATCAAGTGCCATACTCAAAGTATTTAATCTAATGTTTCAATCAATGGAAATAATCAACATTCTGTAATCTCTACCTCACAAAACTGAAAGTTACCAACATAAACAGTTTTGAACATAAACCTGGAAAACATCCATACAGCAAGGGTGCTCCCACTAATTTGTACTGTGGTACAGATTCCATGTGGCTTTGAACTTCCCGAAATTGATTTGGTGAGGTGTTAGGCTTTGAAAAATAAAAAAAAGTTTTCTCTTCTTGAGGAACAGGAGTCTTCAGAGAGACTGTATGAGGGCCAAGTATAACTGGCTCTGCAACTGCTGCGTGCCTTGCTGCATGCCTTTCCTCAGCACAGGGAATGTGTCAGGAGCACAAATGAGGTGAGGCTGGAGAACTGCTGGATTATTGTTGCTGATGCAATTCACAAGAGCCTGAAGTTAATTACAGTGTTTGATATCCTGTACCAGTCCAAAATACGAAGTAGACTCTTAACCGGTTACGTGCCAGCATGCCACAATCTGGTTTATTTATACTTGCACTGCAAGTCTCTGTATGCCTATTCTACTGCCCACCTATACATACATTAGGATTGTGAATGCTACGTGCCAGCATGCCACAATCTGGTTTATAATTAACTGTGCAAGTCTCTGTATGCCTATTCTACTGCCCACCTATACATACATTAGGATTGTGAATGCACCACTGATTAATCTTCTGTGCCATCACAAAGTCTCCACACCTGATCACAAATTTTAGCCAGCTTGATGCAAAATGATAAAGAAATGCTATATACTTCAATTTAAAAGCAAAGTATTCTACAAACCTACACGTTGCTGGAAAGTTTGAGCTTGACTAGGTGCTACAGAGTCTTCAGTCCTCTGGAAAGAAGGAGATACTGTTTTCTAATGATACAACACAAAAGGCAAATTCAGCCCCTGAGAGAAGGGGATGCTTTATGAAGTCCATGAAATTGTCCCCTCCGCAAAAGGACTGATTGGTGCCATCAGAAGTTACTCTGCCTCGCTCCCCCAACAGAAGGCTCAGATCAGTCCAGGTGTTCATATGCCCATGCTTACATTAGTGTAAGAAAGTGTCACAGGCACTAGATGGATAACAATTGTCCCATGGCGAGGGAAGGAATAACCTTTAATCAAAACCAAAACCACCTACTTACCTCTTCTTCGGAGGACTCTGGCTCTCTTTCCCCTGCTTGCCTGCCATGGTATCTGCAGATGTGTTTGATTTCATGCTCTTTGCATCTGCAGGCTGCCATGAAGCTATAGTACTTCTGGACAAAAATAGAAACAGAGAATATTATGTGGAGAACCATCAAAGCCATGCTCACAACTACTGCAGATTTACAGTGAAAAGTGGAACTGCACAGCTACTGACCTTCTGTATTAATTGGTTGTTTTGTTCTCGTGTGAGGATGAAAACAATGCCTGGATGTCCTCAGGGCATCTGCCTTCTGGTACAGAACTGTCAGCCCTGATTTTAGATGCCTGTCTCCCAGCACAATACATAGGGACTCTCTGACACCTCAGAACTGAATTCATGAAATTATCAGAAGGAATGCTCTGGAAACATCTACCTCATCAGGCTCTTCAAGAAAAGCTGTGGTGGAAGAAGGCATAGTTAATGGGTCCTTAATAGGATGTATGTGCAAGCTAGGTGCTTTGCAACCTAGCCAGTGAAGACTGGTTCTGCAGGGCACATGCAGGAGCAGTGCTTTAAAAGCAGAACATGTTAATACTGAAAAATGACTTGGTGAAGAAGCGAAAGTGTCTTCAAGGCTGGTACCAGCAGAGTGGTTTTGAGAATTGTATTTAAGTCCACAGCAGCCCTTTTCTGGCTCCACAGTAAAGGTACTTGAATCTTCCCCGCTGCAAATTAAATACTTGAGTACAGCTCTGCTGCCATCTGTTGTCACCAGAGAACTCCTTCCAGGGTTACCTTTTTGATGACAGGGACCAAAAAGTTCCAAAATATCTATTTTATTTCACTTATATTTTCCTTGTCTCTGACTGTCAAGACTAAACTTAGTAAAAATAAGGCCAATAGCAATTCTTATTTCCAAATCTACTGCTGTGCTTTATTTCTTGAGGTTATGCACACATCAACAGATTTGGTTGCTTGTATTGTGGTTTACTGTGGAGCTACGCCCCAAAATACATCAAATACCCTGAACTATTGAAAACGCTTCACGGAGCATCGCTGTATCACAGGATGTGAGCTGGATTCTTCTACATGATGTCACAGAGCAAAGAAATGAAATCAAACTTTTGGTAAGAAATGTGGGTGAAATCTGGTCCCTTAATAACTCTAAACAACTCATATTAAATAACAATTTTAATCGTTTGCATTCAAGTGCCTAAATGATTATGTTCAGCTGTGGATTTTTATTTGCACTTTGTAAACTCTATCAATGAACTTGTGGGTCTGAGAATTCCCCCCTCCCCCCCTTTTTATGACTCTTCTTCTCTACAGAAGATGATTGAAGCTGCACCATCTTGGCTGACGCATAAATGGGGAAGTCATCCACTGCTTGTTCTAACTTTAATACTCCTAACAGGCCATAGGATGAGTCTCTATACACTGTTACATTTTTGTTTCATCTTGTGTAAAACTCTCTTCCGCCCGAGTTGTTTTAGGATTGACTGGTTACTGTGTATGTAGTGCTTTGAAATGATAAAGGACTTGCTTAAGAGCTAATCATCTGGTGTGTGTTGAACTACTGTTTAATTTAATTGAAGACTTAGCCTCTGTTATCAACTCTGCAGACAAGGAGCTCCCTGCTGCATTATGATAACAGATCCTGAAGGGTATAAACGATATAAACTGCGATGGAGTTTTCAGAGACTTTAATGCAGTAGTTGGGCTGCAGGGCTGCATTCACAAGGATGAGCTGGCAGAAATGGGCTCCTGGTCTGTCTACCCAGAAGAGTAATGACACCCGGCAGCCAGAGCCAACATGAAAGCAGCGGAGCTGTGCAGCTCTTTGCCATACCTCTCAATTTCTACTTATCACAAATAAAGATATGGTCCTGCTCAGAACTGAGCCCATGCTCCTTATCAGCCCACAGTAGCAACATCCCAAATTGAGTTTGCTTGAACGATACTGGGGAGGTTAACTCTAAATTCAGAGCAAACGCGTGACACAAAGCAATGTCTTTGCTCGAGATTCAAACTCTCCCTTACTTCTGCCACACAGAACACACTGACTGTATCAGCCAGCATGTTCATGTTGGCATGGTGAAAACAAAGGGTTACTCTGTCGTAAAG